TGTGTGTGTGTGTAGGTGTGAGTGTGTGTTCGCGCGCGCGTGTGTGTGCGTGTGTGTATGTGGGTGTGGATAGAGTGAAGAGTATCGGCCATGTTAGCGAGTGGTCTTAGTTTTTATTTTTTTTAAAGAGTTTTACGACGGCACTTGAAACACAATAAGATCATATATGTGTCGACGATTAGAAATGTTACAAGACAGTGAAAAACACAAAAAGGAGGAGGAAAGATAAAGACGACTGATGTTTGATAGGACAGAAAAAGCAAACCACTCCAGACCTCCCGCTAACCACACACTGTGAGTGGTTTAGGAATACAAATCTGTGAAGGCTACGCGACATTATTCAACAACTTCAGATGGATCGAATTGCTCGCCACCTAGTTGAACAAAATCTTGGCAGGGGACCTTTGAGAAAATATCAATGGTGAGTAGAAATATCGAAAACTCAGGAGGGGGGGGGGTCCGTTAGCTCAGATGGTATCATGCTGAACAATGGAACGGATGGTCCTGGTTCGAATTCCAGACTTGGCATTCTTGACCTCGGGTCGTTTTGTTGAATTTTTAAAGCTCTCAGTCCACTTTGCTCCGTCCTATTAGAGACAGACGCAAAATTTGGAGAACCCGCCTCTTAACCTAATAGAGTTTAATAAAGTTGAGAGAGGCGTTAACCCATACACTAACTTTACTACAGAAAACAGAATGATTTCCGGTGGATTATAATGTGTCTGACTTTGAGCAAACCGTCTTGGATAATGACGTAGATAGAGTGTAATGCTAATAAATAAATCTGTCCTCCTCTTGAACACGAGCATCCTTCCCTTATTGAAAAAGCGTTGAGTGTGAGAGTCACGAGTCTCTACTTTCAACACAGAACGAGTTTCCGCCGGATCAAAGACGCAGGCTGCAGGACAAAATATGAAAAGAAATAAGAAATGTATGGAGAGAAAAAAAATGTTTACTACTTGCGCCTGCACACGCCAAACGAAAGTGACTGAGTCATACCAACAGACTGAGTGGGTTGTAACGCCAAAGGCTTACCCCTTCTGATTTTTCTCCCTTTAAAAATAAAAAAAACCAACTTCACAGAACGTACCCTCCCCACTTCCTGATTCCGTGTAAAGTGTAGTCCTCTTTGGGTTTCATTGGAAGCACATTTAACATAAAACACACACACACACAC